TAAGTGCTGTCAGTACACCGAGCTGAAACATCAAAGATGATTTGGATCTTTATTTTAAAATGCAAAAGGAAGGTTTTCCATTGGTACAATCTTCTTTATGGCTGTCTCATCCTTTCTTTTGAAGCACTCACAAATCCACAGCTAAATCTTCGGCAGGCTGAAAATGAGCTATCATCATTTTTGCTATTTTTGCAGCTCTACAGAAGATGGAGAGACATAAATCTGCCTCACATTTCATTCTTCTGTAAACTAGTTTTTTGTTGTTTTTTTCGGACTTCATCCTCGCTGGCCTTGAGTTTGTAATCATGTGCGTTTTGAATGTTCTCTGTGTTTCGGATGTTTTGTTTTATTTAAAAAAAAAACCTGTTCAGTGATTATATGTGTATTTGCTTAATGACTTTCTTTTGTTTTATTTTGCACAAGTAATAAGAAATGTGAATCGAGGTGAAATGGAGGAGATGTAAAACCAGAATAGAAAGATGACTTTTAGCCCAGCCTCTGTGCTATTTTCAAACTACGCGCATGCAATCACAAGATACAGTAAATTGTTTTTGTCCCTCTTTGTAACAGCACCATCATTTGCATATTGCTTGAAGTAGAGGACCACTTGCGTTGCATTCGCTTCCTGTGTGGGCGACAAAGAAGCATTAATGGTATGTTATTCACAATGCTGAGGAAATAATTCTTTACATTTCTCTCAGCAAGTATCAGGGACAGGTTATTTCACGTGGGTGGGTGTGTTGGAAACCTGTGATTACCTGCTATTCCTAGAATAACTTTCCATTAATGGCCTCTATATTTTGAGCAGTTGGATTCCCTAGACAGCTGCTTTTGTTTGTATTTGCTTCCTCTGCTACGTCAAGTCAAATGGTGTGAAAACTTCAGTATGCACAAATCTATATATGAGGGTATTAAATGTGTATAGCACACAGATATATGATCATTATGGGGCTTTTCCACTAGGTTTTAATACAGAGTATGATTATATTACTGCAAACAACAGATTATTTTGCTACAACAAACTATTAAGCATTATAGTGTAGATGAAGCACACAGATGAGACAATTTGCGGAAAGACAAACAGACAGACAGACAGGCAGATAAATGGATTTAAGCATACCTTACCATAAAAACCATGTAAGCTTGCTCAGTTAATTCAGTTATATGAAATTAAGTTAAATTGAATTCAGTTCAGTTCTGTTCAATTCAAGTCTATTCTATTACATTTATTCAAGTCTAGTAAGTTTAAATCCATTCAGTGCAATTAATTAAATTCAAGTCATGTCAATTCAAAAATGATTTACTGATCTCAAAGTATTGTGGTACCCCATATGTATTTTTTTCTTTTTGTGCTTCCCTAAATAATGTAGATAGGGGTGTGCGTGTATAATAAGGTGCAAAGAGCTTAATCGAGGTTGGGATATGATGTGTAATCCTTTGATCAGTGTGGATGAAAGGTAAATGGGATGGCAGTGTTCACTACAGCAGCTGATGCTCTCAGACATCCTCTCTTTTCCTATGGTTCATCGTTCCCCTGAACTGAGCCTCTGAGGCACTGAATCCTAAAACAAACATGAAGGCGGCTCTAAAGGTTGAGGATGTAATAACAGCAGCAGGGGACACTGTATGAATAATGATGGCAGACAGTTATTATACAGAAGCGCAAGCAGGGTGCATGTTAGGTCAGCCGATATGATGCCTGGCTAAATTTTATATATGACCCTTTTACACCTGGCCTTCATTATTTCCCCCCGTTTACTACCTTAGAAAGTGGACATTATGGCCAGGATATGGCCAAGCTGCCAGGAGAAATGAGTCATTATTAATAGGCTGCTTCACTCTAGGAACCTTCATCACATCCTCATATTTCTCTCTGTGATTCAGTCAGGCTAGGTGTGGGTAGACTTTTAAAATAACTTAATAAGAAGTAATGAAAGAAACTACTGTTATGATTACAATGACAAAATATGATGGAGGAGGTCAGAAAGAGCTGATTGGGTGGAAGACTCTTGATCGAGAACTGGTCTGCGGCTGTAAAACCGGAGTAAGGAAGCGAGTGATGGATAGGTGGACCATGCCAGGAAAAGATTAAATGAGATTGTCTTGGCGGAGGGAGAGAAAGATAGGACTGTTCAGCTTTCTCTCACACTGGCAAAGTTTCATCAGACTGAGAAGACTTGCTGTGCTCTGAGTCACAGCAGATGGGTAGTTCTGTCAAGTGCTAATGGAGGTGTGCAACTGCCTCTCTTGGTGGTAAACTAAACCAACAAGCTCTTAAGTCAAAATTCAATCTATTGTTTTTGAAGCTGTGGACAAGAAACAAAAAGTTTATGACTATAAATAAAGATCCACAGCTCCATGTTTTAAAGGATGGGCTGCTTCGAGCATCACGGACCCCTGTTCTATATAAATATACAAAAAAACAAACCAACTTAGACTCAATTTGTTAAATGTTGAAAGCATAATGCTCTTCTCCCAACTGCTACTGCTGTTTTGAATTTTACATAAACTGCTCCATCTTCTCTAAAATAATTATTTCAGCTTCGTTCAGATCATTCAATCAGAAAATCTTGATCAGCTGCTAATTCAGATTTTACCATCCCGCTCAGATCCTCTGTGATTGGACGCTCTCTTCTGTCTTTCACACAAACTTGCAACAACTATGGCACTCTCTCTTATGGCTAACACAATCGCTTCTGAGTTATTGAATTGGCCAATAATAAGTAGCTTTTAATTTTGGTATGAGTGAATTCAGCATGATGGATTACCTGTATGCTGGATTGGTGTGTGGTTGATTTAAAATGTTCATGTATGATGTGGTTGAGAACCAGTATGTAGCTTTTATTGTATGATTATAGTAGATTTTCTTACTATAATCTTTCTTACTGCAATTTCTATGGTGGAGAATGAATAGTTATGTGACTCGATTAATGGCTACAGATGGAAAATAACTGTTAGCTAAATCTGGTGCAGAGCATCCCGTCGTGTTTTCAGAATAATGAAAACATGAATATTCTATTAATGCTTGTCTCTCAGCCATCACTAAAGAGCTCATCCCTAATTGGACAGGCTGCCAGTCCGTTGCAGGTCAAAACAGACACCCTGAATAAACAACCATGCATACACAAACTATCATCTAAAGACAATTTAAACAGCCCAACAAACCTAAAAGTCACATTTTTGGACTTAGAGGACGTCAGAGTACCCGGAGAGAACCCACTTATGCACAAGGAGAACATACAACTCCATGCTTGCAACCACATCACTAGGCAGATATCACCACTTTAGTAAGCTGAATTATACATAACAGACAAAAGTATTCTTATTCACGTGGAATGAAAACTACTAGCAAATAAAACGTCTGCTCATAGTAAACGATGTTACTTCTCCGCTGATTCATGTTGCTGCTGGTAATACAATAAAAATGCCATAATTACACTCCTTCCAGCAGTGCCATTAAGTGCTATTTATATTTCAGCTGTCTTGAGCATCAGTCTGGCATTCCTCTGTGAACAGCAGACACAGAGGTCGTGGCTGGAGGATGGTGCATTATGCATGGACAGCAGTAAGAGAATAGAAGTGGCCTCATTTAGCCAAAACACAGCACCAGAAAAACACCAGATGCCCTGTCTTCTGTCAAGCGGACCTTAATGAGGATCTGTACTGTGACTATATGCATGTTGTGTCAAAAAATGGGACAACCACGATGTGTAAAGACATTTTATTGAGGTAAGAAGCCAGACATTTACTGATGACACAAGACAAACATAGAATTCACATTTAGAAATCTTAGAGGTGTGTTACGACACAAACTCAACGCAGCGAAAGAAAAGAGGTGCTGGTGCGCATCAAGATTAACTGACCCCTTTACACAGTCCCCTGCATGGTTACTGATGCCTGTGCTCAAGATGTCTAAAAAGCATTAAAGTAAGATTGTGTTTATTGCTCTTACACTAAAATAGAAAAGATAGAACTCTCCTTTAATGAAAGGTCTTTTTTTTCCTGGGTTGGGGTGTCAATTAAAGTTTTTCTTTTTTCTCCTAAAATGTTCTCCCCTTAATTGTGCTTGTTATAGCCATGGGAAAAGGTTGACCATTGGAGGGTCAGGTTAACAAGTTCTGAGTTAATTTGCTCAGATATTTAACTGAGAGCCATTATAAACCACTACTGTGATCTGGCAGAGGCCCAATTTTAATTTTTTAGAAATTAAAATTGGAAATTTAACTGTCAGTTATCTTTTTCAGCTTAACAAGGTTCCCAAGGTTTATAGAATAGGGACACATCCACAGCATTACTGATCCTCCACCATCCTTGATGATGTGAGCATTAAGCACCTTTTTAATTTTATTCTAATCATCTCATACATATTAAAGAAAACTCCAAAAAGGTATTCAGTATTTAGATTATTTAATGATCGTTTAATCATTTAAGTGTTGTTTTGGAGACTTTGCGGCATCAGATTATACAGTTTCTTTAGCCCATCTTGGTTATTTGTGCACAAAAGCCAAAATCAACATTTTCTCATGCTCCCATTTTTGGTATACTTTAACTATTGTTATGACCACTGGAATGGGTCAGAATGGCTTATACTGACCCATATTAGAGTAAATAATGATGATAAGGCTTCAGTTGCATTAATCTTGAATCTAGAAACTGTTGGGGATGACATTATTTTATCTTTGTCATTAAAAAAAGGATTCATTCGTAGAATGGAATAACTCTCATTTAGGAATTAATATTCTTAAAGTAAAAGCTTACTCTTTTCATTGTAAACTGTAGAACCAATGAACTGCAATATATGCTATAATAATAATATTCTGATGATATTTTAAGGCTTTTTATCCATCTTTCACAGGGTAATAATGACTGAAGACGATGCTGAAGATATTCTGTTATTGAGGCTTTTTGATGAAGACACAAATTGAAAACCTTGCGAGTCTTATGGGAACGTTCAATATGGTTTGAAGACTAAAATGTTGAAAATTCCTACATAAAGCTACTTTTACCTTTTAAAGGCCAAAACATGGATTTTATTACTTATATTGGCTACTATGATTTTCTACTTCAAGCAGAAGGAGGTCTGGCAGGAAATGCATCAAATTTGTTGCAATATGAATACAATAATAATAATAGATGTCTAAACTATCCAAAGTATGCCGGGTTACAAGGAAGGAATGTGCTCACTGTATGCCACAGCTGACTAGCCTCATCAATAGCAAGAGGACAGGAAAGTTCAAACTGGGAGGAGAGGAAGTCAGGCTGACATTTGATCAATGAATGAATGTTACCTCAGTGCAAGTTGACTCATAACGGTTCAACGATCCTGTCATCTCTTTTCCTGCATCGCCTCTTCCTCTGAACTGTCAGAGAAACTTAGACTCTGTCACAGCCAGAGAGATCCTTAAAATGTTGCTGTTCTTATTTTCAGGAACAATGGCTGCAGATCGGTTTTATTCCCTGTTGTTTTCATCTGCAGAGAATGTGTTAAAAAACGCCGGGCAGGACTTGTAACGCACGCTGCGGCGACTTGAGAGAGTCTCAGCAGGCGGCAACCTCCCAGTCCACAGCGAGCTGGTGTGTGAAAACAGGAGAACAGCGTCTTCCGCTTTGAACTTCCACACTTGTTGACACCTTTTTCTTCGTGCTCTCTGCTCTCATCAAGCTCAAAACGGAGACTGCTCCTTCTAAATGATCTGGTTCTTTCAACAAACTTCCTTTGATTTTTTTTCTTATTCCACAGAGACACCCAAACATTTACACACTGCTTTTAAAAGCCAGGGCTTTGTGATAAAAAAAAAAAAAAACAGACCATGACAAATTGCTTCCAAACCTTTTCAACAAAAATATGAGGTGCTATTACCTGCCTGCAAAAATATGCAGACCTTGATGCAAATATTTTGTTGAAGCGTGATGAATTTCTGCATTAACCTTTTTTTCTGGTATGCATTGTACCTTCGATATGTAAGGAGGAGATGCCCGATTTTGAACCTGATTTAAAATTTGATTATTATAATTTTTTAACTATGGTTTCCTTTGCAAAAGGTTTATCAACAAAGTTTCGATTAAATGTGTAATTTATGCAAATTACAGTTATGCAACCAGGTTATTGCACCTTTTTATTTTTAAGTTGATTTGATTTTCAGATAAACTGTACAAGGTAAATGTCATAGTATAACAGGGGTGTATACCGTATACAGACAACCACTGAAGCACAGACAATTACTGCAAAATGGCTGCATAAAATGATTGGGTACCATCATCTTACACCAGTTGTTTTTAAAGCAATCTTTCAAAATTCAAGCAGGTTATTGAACATTGAGTTGCAGCTGTTACCCGTTACGTGTTTAAGGGTTTCACATTAAAACTTAAAAGATGATGAATTATTTTCAAATCCTATTATAGATACTACCACACTTTGAAAAGTCTGTAAAATACAAATTTGATCATTTGTGACAAGATCCTTGAAGCCTTACATTTTCCTGTAAAAATGATCCTGCATTTTTATATTTATTAGTTTACTGTCTAATGCAGGCTTAAAGTTTGCACAACCTCCTCCAATCTCAGCCGGAAGTTGCTCTTGTGGCAGTGTTGCTTTCAATAGATGGCAGTGGTCGTTTCTTGCAAAGAGTCTCTAGTTGCAGTAGCAGTACAATATAACAACCCTCAGGGGGAAAAAAAGCCCTGAAATGAGCAGATAGTGATGAGACACACAGAGTGGGTAGAAGCAAGAAAAGGACACTGACACAACCATGATGTTCCCATAACAAGATTCATCCTCCTCCCACAGTTGGAAAAAGTGTTTTTGACGAGCAAAACGAAATCTGATCCAAACGTTTAAAGCCAGATTGACCTCTGCTTCCCTTTATCTTAACGTAGAGTCCCTTCCATCTTTAGGAGCAGGACATCGGTCGACGAATTCTCTCAGAAAACATGTTTATCGAGGACGGTGGTGTGCAGGTGTTTCTGTGCAACTGCAGAGGCTTAGATGGTCATTTCTCCAGAGAGAGGACAGAGTGTGGTGCTGAAAGTTTAAAGTGTAGAAGGGAAATAAAGTTCAGATCTCCTCTATGGAGTCGGCTGGAACCAGGCCCCTCTTCTTGCCACTGCTCAGCTTCAGAAACGCTTCTCCATCTTCTCTCTTCCCAACACAAATCTAAAAGGAGAGGGAAGGAAAATTAACCATACAAATCTAAGGATATCCTTTAGGGTCTGATATTTCTAAATTACAGTGATCTTTTAGAGTCACAATAAGGATAATATGGTGTATATACCCTCATCAGATGTGATATTATTATGTATTCACTCTTCAGGTCAATCACAGAAGGTCAGATCCATTATTCTAGTTTGAAGGTAAGATGTTTATCATTCGGTGCACACAGATCTGCAGACCTTGAGCTTTGATAAACATCCATCTAGAATCCATCTTTCTCTATCATCTTCATTTTTCTTTTGAAGAAAACCACAAAGCGGATTCATTTTATAAATTATCTTCTGTAGTTGCAGTTATTTCTAACATAACCCAGTTATTACTATGAATGTTTTCACATTTTATGTATACTTATACCGTATTTTCACGACTATAAGGCGCACTTAAACGTCTTTTTTTCCCCTCAAAATGTGCGGTGCGCCCTATGGTGCGGTGCGCCCTATGTGTGTTGTAACTGCGACTTTTGAGACCACCTCATTGAGGAGATGATGAAAGAGTGGCTGAATGTAAGGAGACCAGGTGTTTTTTTCCACTCATCACCATCGCTGTTAATATGTAACTCCATGCGTGCCCATCTCACAGCTGATGTGAAAAACATGGGGAAACAAATTAACCCTGTGCTCGCTGTTCAACCGCTGGGCATCGGTGTGAACCGGACCCAGCAGGTGCAGCAGAAGCAGCGAGTTTACATGCAAAGTCAATGGTTGACGCGCGTATAGGTGCAGCAAAAGGTCCTGCAGCGCGTTTTGAGCTGCAGGTGCAGCGCGTCGGGAGCGCGCCGCCAACGCGCTGCTGCTGCTCGAGATGGAAAAATTGAAGTTTTGCTGCTGGACGCGCCGCATCAACCAATCAGAGAAGCTGATCTATGAAACGGGCTGGGGAGATGATGAAAGGCAGGTGTATGTGAGGAGACCAGGTGCTTTTTTCCACGCATCACCATCGCTGCGTGCCCATCTCACAGCCGATGTGAAAAAAAAAGATGAATCAAATGAACGCTGTGCTCGCCGTTATCCCGGGGGTCTGACAAAGGAACTTCAACCACCCAACATCGGTGTGAAGCGGCCGTTCAAAGTAAGGCTGCGAGCGGCGTGGGAGCGATGGATGGCCGACAGAGACCACAGTTTCAGGATAAGTGGAAGGCAGCGCCGGGCAAGTTACGCCACCGTTTGCGGATGGATTGTAGATGCTTGGACTAAAGTGTCTGCTGGCTCTGTTCTTCAAGCTTTTGCAAAAGCCGGCATTATTTCTGAGGAGTTGCGCTGCACGGAAAGTGACTGACAGCGAAGAATGGGAAATTGGCATGTCTGATTTAGCGCTGCTGTTTAATTCAGAAACAGAGGATGATGACTTTGATGGGTTTGATTAATACTTTGTAATAAATACATGAATAAAGCACAAACATACTCAGTTTTACTCCCGCTCTATTTTTCTACCTGAAAACTTAATTCAACAGCAGCCTCTGGGCGGGTCTCCTCCTCTTCACCGCGGTGGCTGGCAGGTGTTTTTTTATCTGAATAATCTAAATCTTGCAGCTATATTTGCTGTGATCAGTGGGAATAAAGTAGTTTTAATATGTTTTTAAGTGAGAAAGGCCACCTGAAAACTTAATTGCAGTCAGTTCATCCAGATTATCTATTTCTGTCGGAGGCGCTCAGACCCCCACATACCAGCGGTACACCGACAGTAAATCCCTTCAACAGCAGCCTCACACGGCGGCTGGCAGGTGTTTTTCATCTAAATAATTTACAGTGCAGGCACCAGGATACCGGCAATAAAAGCGAACATATTCCGTCGGCAGGTTTCAGGATTTTAAGTTAATTTAGGAGTGATCACAGCGCTGTGTCATCTGCGATGTGTCTGTCTCATGGCCAGCTCGCAGGTTTGATTAATTTGTAATAAATACATGAATAAAGCACAGTCATACTCCGTTTTGGGCCCGCTGCATTTTAAAAATACGCAGTAGAGCTATTTAAAGGTAGTAGAGGACATGTACCTGTATATAAAAAATGCGCCCTATAGTCCGGTGCGCCTTATGTGTGTGTTAAATACAGAAATGGGACACATAACTGAGACTGCGCCTTTTAGTACGGTGCGCCTTATGGTAGTGAAAATACGGTAAGTGTCGTATTTGTGCTTTAAAGACCTTCTTGGTAAAGATGACTAAGTATCATCAATCAACGGGTAATTGAAGGATTATCATTTTACTGGTTCACAATCTGCGATATTTGTCCTTCTGGTTGTAGCAGAGAAAGGGATTTTTATCCATGCTTGCATTGGACTAAACGTGTGGCCTCGCTTTCCTTCCATTGCTCTTCACACCTGAAGTCGTAATAATTTTCTTTATAATGTTATAATGTATCAGTATCTCTACTGATCTGAAACTGGGGAAGAAGGAAAAATACAGATGAATTTAAATTTTATCAAATATTCATTACTTAATACAATTAAATACAAATGAGCTGAATTGCTAAACACTTTAAACACCTTTTTCCATTAGTAGTTACTGTTAATTTATAAGTCTTAAAATAATGTGCCCACATCTCTGAGTCATAATAAATTGATTCACAGAGAGAGAGAGAAAAAAAAAAGAAAACATCAAGTCTTTTCAAATATCCTCCTGAGATGAAAAACTATTTAACATTCAGACGAGATATCTATTAACCTGTTAGACATTACTTAGGTGTTTTTTTAAAAAAAAACATGCACACTGGGATAAGCCTTATGTTTATGCAGTGTTTTTTTCAGCAAAGTTGTGAGAATGTTTCGGCATCAAGGGTAAAGCTGTTAGGTTCTTATGGGCCAAAAAAATATATTATAAGTGAAAGTGAAAAAAAAAACAAGTAGTCTGATTAATTTAGAAGATTTATCTGTAATTCACGTAAAATCCAAAATATCTTCTCACACTCCTGGCTTTTAAAAAGAAAGGACATCTTGGCAGAATAATCAAACTGAAATAAACATCTACTGAAAACTGTTACTATGTCTGATTTAAATCGTATTGATCCAGTGGAAAAACATAGACGAGCAACTTAAGTTTATTCAAATACTACGGATTCAGACTTGGATTGCCTTTATAGTCATGTAAAAAAAGGAAGGTATCGTTAAGAGATAAAAACGTATATAGCAATAACTAGTCCAACTTCACATATACTATTACCCACCCCCTAGACACCCACTCATCTTTATTAAAGAACATCAAGAAATTGCACTGTGTTCAGTTTGTTAATCACAGTGCAACAAGAATATATATGTGTTACTCTTTATTCAAAAATAATTGCTGTTCATTGACTTTGTCTGTCAGCAAATTTCTAATCATTCAAAGCAACATTAATGGTTCTTGGGTTGAATTCTGGAAAGCTCTGATGAACAGAAACTAAAAAAATATCTTTTTTATTTATTTTTCAAAAACTTCTAATGAGTGAGGTCTAACATCGGATTTGTTTTACTTGTCTTACTTAAAGTTGGCAGCTGTATAGAATAGCCTACTCTGCTCTGCTATGGTGCAAAGCTGATGTTTGCTTCAAAGAGCAAAAAAACAGATCTTCATAAAAGAAAACATAAACGTGGAAATCAGACCAGAACAAACCATTTAATGGGTTTTAAGACAATTTAACTTTATAATAATACCAATTATATTCTATTTCTATAATAGTTAAGTTCTGAGTGCAGGGATTTAATGTTTAATTTTTAGGTTTTGGTTACCTAAATTATTAGATATAGCCCAATAATGGATCTATTGTGTGCACTTACATACGTACATGAGTTCTTTGGGTTACTTCCTCATTCAGGGGTCGCCACAGAATTACATCTTCCACACTGACTTAGATTTTTTATGCCCCCGTATTAAAGACAAAAAGTTAAGCCTCTACACCACAGAGGGACTTGAAGAAAATGTTATAAAACAACTAATGTTGTGATTGTTTTCTTCTTAGTGCATTATGCTTAGTGTAGATTGATTGTGCTTTGGCATTGTGGGCAAAAACGGATAAATGTCGAATTTTTCCAGAATGGTTGACAACTTACCGCTCCACCATGTGAAGGCTGTGTAAATGCTCTATCTAATTGTTTATAATGCCTACATATTTGCTAAAGTTTGCAGCTAATCAGCTGAAGCAGAGCTGGATTCGGTTTACATTTGGGGTAATGAGAACCTAATACACAAGAGGAGCTCAAGGAAATCAAAGACAAGTGTAAGCAAAGAAGAATATAAACACTCTGAACATTACCTGGGACTCCCTCACTGCCATGTGTCCCCTTTCTCTATTGCCAGGAACCCCGTGGACAACCCGCCAGACCCGCTCTCCTGGTCGGACCCTTTGAACAAAGTTGGCAGGGAAAAAGCCAACTCTGTCACCACTTTTCCCCTAAAAAAACACAAAAACATAATTTCTCATGACCGTCATAGGCTGAACTCATACTCAACGACACAAATGTGATGTTATGTCTTGAAGGAAATGATTAGTGAGGTTAAATACTCATTAATATCATTTGTCATATCATGTGTCTCTAAATTTAAATGACTAGGGTAAAAAAATATATATGTAATTACTAATAACTAAAGTTATTCTGCAATCCCTGAATCTTCCATTGAAGTCTGCCGCATTGCTCAACAACATTTTAATAAAATAAACGAAATGAATCGGTCCAGCATGAATCCTTAAATATATTTTTTTCTGGAAAGGAATAGTTTCTTTTATTAATACTTACTGTCCTGTAACTGTAACTTTTTAATTGAATTACTAAAACCTTTAGGTCAAAATTGATTAAAAGCCACCATAACTGCTACTTGATCTCTCATAAACGCAATAATACAATACATTAGAAAAGTGTGGATGCAGCTTATTCGATGTGCATGTGTCTGTTCAGCCTTCTACATTAAAATCTTTTAAGTTTAACTTCTTTAATACATTTATTGAAAACCCTGTTTAAAAGAAAGTTTAGAAAGGCTGTATTCTGAACAAATACTTTGCATATAAAAAGCCTGCATCGTGATGAAAACTCTGTATTTCTACAAAATTTCTAGACTCACTTGTGGCAAAAAAAAAGCTTCTTCTTTGCATTCATCTATACCAATATATCTGTTTATTAACTTTATATTGAAAGTTTGGGTATCTGAGTCTTATAATCTACTACTTTCCTTTACTTTACGGCAATCGTTTCAAAGGTTTTGAAGATTTTATTGCCAAGCTGAAAAGATTTTTTTTTGCAAAGAAATCATCCTACCACAGCCTCTTCAGATCAGATTTATGGAGGTTTTGAAATTGTTCAGTCAAATTGTTTGGATTGTTGGAACAAACGACAATTGCTCCCTTCATTAATTTCTGCGATCCTGAGTGGCTGTCAGCTTCTTCTTAGCTATTTGGTTTTTTTAACATTCAAATCCAAACCTCATAGGATGCAGTAATAAATCACAAAGGCAGCAATAGAAGCATGCATACTTATTTCTCATGTATTCAAACTAAAATTAGAACAACTGATTATTTTAGATCAGGATCGATGCAAAGTGATGGAAAATTTATGAGATTCAAGTAACAATATTTCAATGTATATTGCTGACTGCCTCAGGTGCAGCCATGTTTATTGGGTGATTTACAAACCATGCATTAGTAATGAACAGATGATTCACAAATTATCCATAATTTAAAGATGCCGTAAATGTTTTGTCAGATTTTTTTTAGGCTGCTGCTGGATATGTGGCTACTTAAGCCGTAGGTGAAGCAAAAACAAATCTGCTGTTGAAAAGTACACAGACTCTATATATTATTTAGACTAAATCTGAATCTGTCTTTTTGTCCGGAGCTGAATCGCAAATACAAAGACACACAAACTCAGACATAAATTTTTTTTTTTCCCATCGGGAGCGAGTGAAGCGCATTACTGACTCAATAAACACCTTGTTGATGCTGAAACACAAGTCAGGTTCATTATGCTAAAGTCTTTTGGTAATTTTCAGAGGAAATTATGTTCTATTTCAGAAAGTGGCTGCCTGCATGTCTATGAAAAATGGAGCAGGTGTTACGTACTAAAGATTTGATTTACAGATCTGAATTAGCACATTTGCACAATAAATGCGCATTCATAAACCTTTTTGGACACAAAAAAAAAAACTCTGAGATACATAAGCAAGTGAACACACACACACCCACCTTCCACCACTCCTCATTAGAGTCGTCTGTGACCTGCACCCGATCCCCAGGACTAAAAGGAGAAAAAAACAAGAGACTTTGTTTTTTAAAAGATATATAAATGGAGAGGTGATTGAGATGAAGAAAAGGGGGAGAGGGCCGCATGACAGTAATACATAGCAGGCAGGAGGCAACAAGAGAGCACAGAAAAACAGAAGACCGAACTGAGCTTAAGCACAAAAGATAACATTATCTAAGTAGCAACAAAAAGCTGTAGTACCCATGGTAACAACGCCACGGCTGTTAAAACGTGCCTCCGTCTTTGTGTCTTTTTGCAAAGGTTACAAAGAAACTGACATGGGAGTCATAAGGTCTTCCTGTTGGACTCTGTTGTCTCTGCCACAGCGCTGATTAAAACTGCAGCAGACCAAACCTAGGCTTTTTTTTTATTGTGCTGCTGGGTTTGAGAGACCCTTTCTCCACATCAGAAGATGTAGACAACAGTCGCTGTCCTAGATAACCAAGCAGACGGTACACCCCAGTCGCTTGTCTGTACGTATATTTTCTTGGGTGTAAGCTGTAAATGTGACCAAATCAACACACTTACAGCCTTAACACTAGAAATAAACCCATATTGTTCCTAAAACAGTGGATTAGGCCTCATTTATTGAAAATATTTTTGAAGCTATTGCTAAGAGGCTAAGAACTTTCTTTTAAAATCTGCTGATGACATTTTGAAGTAAGCGTCAACGGTGGGATTAACCTTCTTTAAATCATGGCAAATACCAGCTTTGCTTGAAGGCAGGTGATAAAAAATCTATAATATTTATTCTAAGTCAGATATTGGCTTCACATTTACAGTAACTACTTTATATTTTCATTATCCCTCTTCACCTTCAAATCAGTGTTTGTAAAAGCGTTTCCTGACTTAATCTACCTTATTTAATTTTGTGTTTTTAGTCTAGAGGAAACCAATGTCCTCTAGCTTTGATGTTCAATATAGAGACGTTTCAGGTAGATACTTCCTCAAAAGTGATTCAACACTAATTCCTCCTCAATACGTAAGGCAAATGCAAAAACCAATGACATCTAAGTTTTAAAATGATCTTTGGCACAATACAGACAAACTGGTCACCTGACCTTGGAGAACTTTAAGAAAAGTACAGATAAAGCAAGAGAGAGTGAGAATATTAAGACATTTAAAAACAAATACAGATATTTTAAGATAAATTCTATGGCACACAGCAAGTGAAGAACAGTCAGCAAAAGCAAAGTAATTGCTTAATGAATCACCTTTTATGTGAAATTTACTTTTCTTAAAATAATTATAGTTTTTTATTATTTGTAAATCTTACCTATTTATCTCTAAATTGCTTAACAATATGGATTGCTAATTAAACAAGATGGTTTAATGCTTAGATTTATTCTTTAAGACTGATAGAAAAATAACAATTGCGCTGATGACTTGCCTGATTACTAATTTTCTTCACCTGCCTAGTTCTGTCCAGTTTCTTGTTACTGCTCATTTGTGTCACCTGTTCCTGCCTCTATTTAAACTGCCTTCTTCCAGTCATCAGTACCAGATTATTCAAGCCCTTGGTGAGAGTCTTCTAGCGAATAAAAGTGTGTTCTGAATATCTGATCCGTTCTGCCTTTGGACCAGTGGCGGCCGGCCCATAGGGGGCGCTGGGGCACCGCCCTCCCTGATAAGAAGAGAGAAACGTAAAATATATTTTTAGAAATTAACTCATAAATGTCTGTTTTACTCTCTAGACTGTGTAACTATAAGCAAAACAAATTATATAAACTACATTTCCCTATCTACTGTCATTAATTTGTGGATTTCCACAGACAGACTCCTACCGTCTCTGTTCTGGGGGCTGTGATCAGACTGACCCACATTTGCAGAGAATCTGTCAATCATGTACTATTGCTAGGTGAATTTAATGGCCAATCAGCGTCTCGGAACTTTATGGTATTGGGGCGCTGAAAATACTGCGCTTTTACAGGCTTCTCTTCTGAACCCAAGCGCAGGTGCAGACAATTAGAGGGAAGATGGCGAATGTAACGAGCGAGATGCAGCTTCCACCAAATTCGGTGAGATCCTTATTTATCTACCCGTTTGCCAGAAGAACATCCCTGTTGTATGATATGAACATTTCATTTCATGGTTATTGTGACTGTGACGAATCCACCTCGTCGCTTAAAACAACCTCTCTAACTTTGAGCGCCACACACACATTCCTGTTATACTGTGTTTGTGAGGACCAATACACTCGCGCTGAGATCAGTAGCTCCATGAACTTAAAACACACAAGCTGTCCTGGTTACCTGCTGGCGTATTGAGGATGCACACTTAATATTTCAGTGGGGTTAGCCGTGTGTGTGTGTGTGTGTGTGTGTGTGTGTGTGTGTGTGTGTGTGTGTGTGTGTGTGTGTGTGTGTGTGGGTATGTGGGGGGTGTGGGTGTGTACGTGTTTATGCGGGGACTTGTCATCTTCAGTCTGGCTGCGTCTTTGCTGGGTTCAAACCCAGTTTGGTGTAATTGAATAAGTCAATGAATCTGTGTAAAAGAATGAAGTTGTAAAAATTATTTGTTTTTGTACATCAATTGTTTGTGGAGGTAATATATGGACAAAACTGATTAATGAGAAGAAATCAGAAATAAGAGAGCCTGAGGTGAGGGGCTTAAACTATTTAATGAGGGCTGTGGGAAGAAAAGCGGCAATTTTTGTTTTCTGTTTCTTTGTTACATTGCTGGTAACTGGAGGGAGGCTGAGGCCCAGAGTATCTTGTATATGTTTAGTTTCTTTTGCACCCTGTTTTGAGTTTTTGAGCTCAATAAATCACCAACACCGGTAACCCGACTGAGACTGGATTCTTGGAGGCCAAAGAACCCCGTCACAGTGACCCAAATCATCACTGTTACTGTTATTATATAGTAAATTAAATCATTACTGTTAAATTGTATGTATTGTCCAATTGTTTATTTGAATTCTTATTCCGGGTTAGTTGGAGACATACACTAGGCTATATCAGCCCCACCAAAAATATTTTTCACCAGCCGCCACTGCTTTGGACCTCTGATACTGCCTGTTCCCATTCTGATCTGTTTGCCTGACCTGTCTTCAGACTCCTGCTGGATTCTGCCTGTTGACCAAACCTGGAACTCATTCCTGACACCGTCCTGGATTTCCCTTCGGTACCTCTTCGTATCTCTGATCTTCTGGCCTGGACTCCTGAGCACCTCCTCGAAACTGGTTTTGTTTTCGCCCTATGGATTATCCTGCCTTCCTTTATCTGCTCGGATCTGATCTCTTTTCTATTCTTCGGCCTCTGAGGCTTCAACGCCAGTGACTCCCTGGGCAGCCGACCGACTGGAACCTACCTCATCCTCTGAGCACAGACTGAACTTTAGGACCAGAGGTTCTTCCCTTAGACACCCTAACTGTTCGCTGCAGATCCATTACTTTAAATAAACACGTTTAGATATATAATACAGTCTGCTTGAGTTTGCTTGGGTTCTCTGTTCAGAGCCTTAACAACAACTAAGATTGTTGAGGCATAAATATAAGTTTTTTTTAAAGAATTAACAGTATTTAATCCAGAAAGTTCAAATAAAGCAGATCTACTTTAAATGTTTGTATTTAATGTTTTCTGGTCTGCAGAGAAAGAGGAAGTTTATTTTCCTATGATAACTAAAGTAAAAATAACCACTGGTTAAGATTTCTATCTTTCCAAGTCCTAAGGGAATTGCATCTGCCTTTCTTTAAATTCTGTACTCATCTACAGAATCACAGATGTCTCTTAACAGTCTTGAAGTGCTGCCTTTGTGAAAGCTGTCCTCTAACTGACAATACACTCTCATAAGATCCTCACATCACAAGGTCTGTCCTTAATCTTCTCATCCTTCATCTGACAGAACTCCTACATTGATACTTGCCCTTTAGCAGCAGCAAGAATATCTTCCTTTCCTATATATATGCTTGTATTCATTGCAGTTTCCTGTCGGCCTCCTTTTAGTTTCTTAGTTACTCTCTGTTGTGCTTCCCCCTGAAAAGGATGCAGCTGATTTAAACTACCTCTACGAGGAAACAACGCTGGCATCCAAGTTTATAATTAGTTGTCCTTAGGGGGAGCCAAACATTGTCCTCTACAGATGGCTGGGACATTTTATTCCAAAAGAATAACCGCAGGGCTAAATACCAGGGAGAACTCTGACAAAAGCAAAACACGCCTCCACACAAACACATATACCCTCACTTGCAGATATATGGAAATAAAAAAAGATTTATTTATGGCTTTTACTCACTGTAGTTCCAGGTCGTTCTGCTCCTGAGGCAGGAACCTGTAGAGCGCTACATAGGTGTGGATGGAGTGGACTTCGATGCGCTTGGGCAACTGGGGGGGATTATTTCAGTTCATGAGACAGAAATAAAAATGCTGGGTATAAAACATCAAAGGTGGACCTTCAGATAACAGCTGATTTAACAGAGCATTACCTTTGCACTGCTGTCCTCTGCAAGAATCTCAGCTTGCTCGCTGCTCTGCTCCACCTCCTTCTCCATCTCTTTCTCTGGAAGGGTCGAGAGGATTTCTTTGAAGGAAGTAAAAGGAAACACACTGAAAACCATGCTTTTTTATTTATTTTTTTTTAAGCAAACATTAAATGTCTCTCTTGCACAGTCAGTCACACACAGGTAACAAAGCAGACATTGACCCATGCATACAGCACATATCCACATACACACAGCAGTGTTTACCCCCTGTTTCTTGTGTTATCTCCTCCTCCATGCTGCACTGTCTCTCCTCCCTCTCTTCACCTCCCTCCCCCTTGAAGAGGGAAATAAAGAGGAAACAATAAAACGTTAGCACCAAGATGACGGAAAGGAGTTGTTGTTTTTTTCACCAGATGTAAAATCAGGTTGTTTTCAACCATTGAGAATATTATTTTCCTAATTATCTTACAATTATTACACTGTCAGAAATTGCCCATTTACATGTTAGTGGGAGACATTAATATCACTTTACTGCAATGGTTCTCTTATTGCAAAAAGAATGTCTGACCCTTTAATTAATCACCCATTTTAATTCTACATTTTTGTGCTAGACTAACATTAAGCAGTTTATAATTAAACAATGGAAAAAAGACATGTAAAATGTACAGAATTTTCAAAGGTATTACTAATATGAGGAATATGCCCAACATTCATAAATAATCGAGCTGAATCAGACTGGTTAGAGAAGTTGTCTAATAATCAGCTTTTAAAATTATTCCCAAAGATTGAAAGGTGTATTTTTGTCATTCAGATTTTAAACATGCTTTTATGAAACAATTCCCTTGTAGCCTTGGCTGCATATTTTGGGGTTTGTTTGTGCTTGATGGTGAACCGCTACCCTGATTATTATTTGCCATGTTATTAAACGAGGCCATCAAATAAATCTCAATATCTGACAAAGTTAGTCTACATAAACACACAAAAAAAATGATAGGTTTACAAAAAAAAAAAAAAAAATCTAATGATATCAGCCTAGTTTTTGGAACAATTCATCGCATTTTATTATAATTTTCTGCCTTTTGCTTCAGTTTCAAAAGCCACACCCTGTTCTGATTACCATCAGTCCTGTAACTTCAACACATTGTTCATACCGAGCCACAATAAAAGTTTAAAACAGTTCAAAAAGCATGATATCAAGACATTTTTGGAACGGTTTTTAAAGCCATTTTCAAGGCCTTGGGATTTTAAATAATTTACAAATAGAGAAAAGATAAAACAGCGCCAAACCATCACTGCACTGGAAAAACTATCTAGAGATAAGTAAACATTTCTTAAATCATGTGTATTTACACTTAATATGAGTAAGTAAATGAGGTACTTTGCCAATGGAATTAATATTTTTACTCTTAAAATAAGATATTTAGATACTATGCACTTGAAATAATACTATGTAATTTTTTATTTTTTTTATTTTAAGTGTAAATTGTCTTTTTCCATTAGCAAAATGTCTCGTTTACCTCCTCAATCCAAGAACAAATACACTTATTTTAGGAAAAAATTACTTATCCAGATTTCAATTTTTTCCAGTGTGGTGTGGCCTACAGACCCAAAAATACTCAGAGAACACTGACAACTCATCTAAAAGGTAACAGAACCCAGAGGAACATGTGAAGCACTGCAAATACCACCTGAATTCATTAGTTATGAACAACTTAACAATAAGAAAAAAAAGAATATGGCATCCATTGAGGTGTTCCATGGCCAGCTGACCAAAAAGGATCAAAATGGTGTATCCTATACATGCTAAAAATGTCTTCATCGTACTGAAAAGCTTTGAGAAAGTCCTCAATGGACCAGAGGAGAAAAACATGGAACTTTTAAAGTGTTGTCTCCTCAATATGCCTCCTATAAAATGTTATTCTTTCAGAAGAAATCCGACTTAACCGACTCTAAAGTTAAATCTGTTTATTTTAGTGGGACATTTTAGGGCTGCTTTCCTGCTTCTGCACCTGAAAAACTTGCTTTAACCGAAGGAGCCCCTAAAATTTACTACCCTACAGTAAAATCCTACCACAAATCCAACTCTGAAAAGGTTTGGAGGCATTGTACTTAAATAAAACAGAAGCACTTAGCCATTCACTGGAAATATCCTCTAGTGCAGCTAAATTTAAAAAAGAAACTCATAAAAAAGATAAAAAGAGCTTCTCTGCACCATATTTGTAGTCATTGCACATGTTTGGTTCATTCATTCATGCTGTTTTTACCGTCAATGCGGCACAGTCAGTTATTAGGCCTAGTGAGCTGTTATTTGTTACATAGGGTCATGTTGGTTTGGATAGACTTTTACCTTTATCAACTAAATTATTAACTTCTTGCACCTTATTCGTTAGGGCAGAGTGAGAGGGTTGCAAGTACCCGGTACGATCCCCACAGCCTGCACTCTGGGTCCCTGAGCAAGACCCCACACTGCTCCCCGGGCGCCATACAATGGCAGCCCACTGCTCCCCAAGAAGATGGGTTAAATGCAGAGGTGAATTTCTCCAGTGTGAGATCAATAAAGTTTATTTTTATTGTTATTATTCAGGTTGTCTTTGACAGAAATTAAAACTTGTTTTATGATTAGAAAAAATTTAAATATGACAAATACCCAAACACCTTTCACAGCCCTGCATTGCTGAAGGTTGGAGGGACAAGAAGATGCAGTGGTGATCCAGTAACGTGGAGAAAAGGATAAGTGTAGACATCTGGTGCAAACAGCATATATTAACAAAAAAACAAAACAATAAAAAATGACATTGGACTTCTTATAGATGAAATGTAACCAATACATGAAAAAAAGAAAGCAAATATCAAGCAAACAAAACTGGAGCGAAGAAGACAATAATAAACAGAAAAAGCAACATTAAACCAAACAGAACAAGAGACGAACAATAACAATTATTTTTTTTTTCAAATTTTTCCTTTTTTTAAGTCGTATTTGGCCTTTTGAAATATTATTTATTGATTATTTAAACATTATATGAAGCTCAAAAGAATTTCTTAAGCTCAGTAAAAGTTGACAGTCTAGTAAATTTTCTATCCTATATATCCCCATACGTGCCCTCAGTACCTGGTCAGGCAGTCAGTAGACTGGGGTCATCAAACCCATTTTTATGTCTAAAACACACATTGAACTGTCTTCCACCCACATCGACAGGGTAATGGTGCCGTACCAAGCTGCGTGTTGGTGATTCTGATAAACTGCCAAAACTGGAACGGCTCATCTGTGCCAAGGACGTCCCGTAGCGCAAGGCAGCATACACAGGGTCTACACGCATCCGCGCAGCCTCTGAAACCACACACACACACACATGCACACGCAAATATTTATGACTGAGTAAAAATCACACACATAAATTATTAATTAACTCCAGGCTTTTGCTGCAGGCATGCCACAATTAGGATGAGACGCTGAGATAATGCTGTACATCACAGCTTTTGTGCCTGTGAGAATCTGGAGGAAGCGGGCTAAATATAACAGCGGTAATGCAGTCAGCCCTGGACCAAAGTGACCCACTTTACATCTGAAAGTACACAGCAGCCAAAAGTTAAGAAGACATCAAGACATTCTAATACCTTCACTGAGTCTTAGTTTAAGGGCTTTGATATATCTGGAGCTGCAGTAGAGTACAAAGAGAATAAGATAAGATATTTAAAATATGGAAATCCCCTTAAAGTCTTCATCTCTGTGTTGCATGTAGACTCCAGTGCTCAGTACTACAGCAGCATATTTTAGGTTAAGAATTCGATTTTCTGCTCTCTTTTCCATCCAGCTCAACACAAGCGGAATGGAGGGCACAAGGATTTTAGCACGTATGATTCTGCACAAGTGTATAAGTTTGTGTTAGATGAGACAGAAAGAATTTACAATTCCATTAAAAATTTAGTATTTCTTATCTCTTGTCAGGAATAAAAGGTTTTTGAGATAGAAATCTATTTTTATAGATTTTCCGTAAAAATTCAAAAAAATATCCACTGGACCAGTGGCGGCCGGCCCATAGGGGGCGCTGGGGCACCGCCCTCCCTGATAAGAAGAGAGAAACGTAAAATATATTTTTAGAAATTAACTCATAAATGTCAGTTTTACTCTCTAGACTGTGTACCTATAAGCAAAACAAATTATATAAACTACATTTCCCTATCTACTGTCATTAATTTGTGGATTTCCACAGACAGACTCCTACCGTCTCTGTTCTGGGGGCGCTGATCAGACAGCCCCACATTTGCAGAGAATCTGTCAATCATGTACTATTGCTAGGTGAATTTAATGGCCAATCAGCGTCTCGGAACTTTATGGTCTTGGGGCGCTGAAAATACTGCACTTTAACAGGCTTCTGAACCCAAGCGCAGGTGCAGTCAGTTAGAGGGAAGATGGCGAATGTAACGAAGGAGATGCAGCTTCCACCAAATTCGGTGAGATTCTTATTTATCTACCCGTTTGCCAGAAGAACATCCCTGTTGTAGGATATGAACATTTCATGTCATGGTTATTGTGACTGTGACGAATCCACCTCGTCGCTTAAAACAACCTCTCTAACTTTGCGCGCCACACACACATTCCTGTTATACTGTGTTTGTGAGGACCAATACACTCGCGCTGAGACCAGTAGCTCCATGAACTTAAAACACACAAGCTGTCCTGGTTACCTGCTGGCGTATTGAGGGTGCACACTTAATATTTCAGTGGGGTTAGCCGTGTGTGTGTGTGTGTGTGTGTGTGTGGGTGTGTGGGGGGTGTGGGTGTGTACGTGTTTATGCTACGGGGACTTGTCATCTTCAGTCTGGCTGCGTCTTTGCTGGGTTCAAACCCAGTTTGGTGTAATTGAATAAGTCAATGAATCTGTGTAAAAGAAATAAGTTGTAAAAATTATTTGTTTTTGTACATCAATTGTTTGTGGAGGTAATATATGGACAAAACTGATTAATGAGAAGAAATCAGAAATAAGAGAGCCTGAGGGGAGGGGCTTAAACTATTTAATGAGGGCTGTGGGAAGAAAAGCGGCAATTTTTGTTTTCTGTTTCTTTGTTACATTGCTGGTAACTGGAGGGAGGCTGAGGCCCAGAGGATCTTGTAAATGTTTAGTTTCTTTTGCACCCTGTTTTGAGTTTTTGAGCTCAATAAATCACCGGTAACCCGACTGAGACTGGATTCTTGGAGGCCAAAGAACCCCGTCACAGTGACCCAAATCATCACTGTTACTGTTATTATATAGTAAATTAAATCATTACTGTTAAATTGTATGTATTGTCCAATTGTTTATTTGAATTCTTATTCCGGATTAGTTGGAGACATACACTAGGCTATATCAGCCCCACCAAAAATATTTTTCACCAGCCGCCACTGCACTGGACTTGGTTTTCAAGATTTGAAGACGTTTCGCCACCTCTCCAGGAAGCTTTCTCAATTCAAATGTCTGGATCCGCAGTGAGTTTGAGTCTTATATAGACAACGCCTTGTATCGCTTGGAAACATGCAATGGAAACCGATGAATGGGTCGTTAGTTCCATCGTTAGCCTGTAATATCTGAACCTGTCTATGATTCTAGGGGTCGGCCGTTAAAGCAGGGATTGCCATTAAGGGGGGGATTGTCTCCTGTAATACCTGAAACCTGTCAAGAGACAATCCCCCCCTTAATGACAATCCCTGCTTTAACGACCGACCCCTAGAATCATAGACAGGTTCAGATATTACAGGCTAACGATGGAACTAACGACCCATTCTGATGACTGAGAACCTTCATCAGCATATTTTTATAGATTTTTTTTTTCACTCTAATTGCAAAAGAACAAAACACAACATTTGAGTGTAAAAATATGTTTTTATGAGAGCTTTTTCCCCTGGAAAATAAATTCATCAGTTTATATTTTTTATTTATTTCATGACAAAATATTTTCTCTTCACTCTAAAAAAAAAACATCAGTTTTTGGAGTCAGTGTGAAAATGTGTTCTCTCCAAAATATTTCTTTTACTTTCAATTTTTTTTTTCCATTGTCAGATCCCCTTTTTCCTCCAATTTAATAAAAACATAATAAAAACACAACAATTTCTCCATGCCAAGGCTGATTTAAAAAACAGGGAAAGAACAGTTTAGTTTAACAGCATTGGACAATTGCATTTTTCTTTTTTTTTCTTTTTTTATTGTCCCTGTAACAGTTTATTTATTTGATTGAGTAACCAAAATTGTGCCACATTTTAGGATCTTTTGTGAGAGTTGGGTTTATTGATCATCACAACAGAGAAACTAATGTACTGCTTTCTTTGTGACTTCAAAATAAGATTCAGGAACACAACCTTCAGGGTTTCATTTGCAAACCTTCTTTGATATTTGTGTACCATAATATATGGGAGTCCATGGCTGTAATCCTATAACACTGAACATTCGTGCATGGTAGACATCTCTTTCTAGGATGGAGTTCATTTTCATTGCACTAAATACCAAAAGATCTCACTACAGTCCTATTAATGATATCATAGTAATTTTCAGTAACATGAGATCTGTATTTCAGCAAATATCAAGACATTTTAAGTAGGGCTGCAACAACGAATCGATAAAATCGATAAAAATCGACTTTTAAAAGCGTTGGCAACGAATTTCATCATCGATTAGTTGTGTCGCGCGATTATTGCGTCATCCGCCGCGCCGTCATCACTGCCTCTTGACTGAAAGAGGAAGAAAAAAAAATATGGCAGAGCGAGTCAGCGCCGCAGGAGCAGTGTTGCCAACTCAGCGACTTTTCAGACCCCTCCAGCGACTATTTTTCAAAAAAGCGACTAGCGACAAATCTGGCGACTTTTTACGGTGTCACTGCCGGCTTTTGTAGACTCTTACGTGAAGGCATGTATCGTTCCTACTCTGCCGTGGGGCGCCTCCCCCCGCTCCCGCAGGAGTCCCTCTCAGCTGCAGTCAGAGCCTCAGCGTCCAGACTGCAAATGAAGCGCGCATGCACCGGGATTGACGGCGCAAATTGATCACAATAATTAAAATAGCCTGCGCTTTGTAAAGCGAAAAAAGTGATAACATGCAACTTTTTTCAAAACAAATTAACATGGCACGGAACCACCATGTTTGTTTGGTTTTAAAGTGGGGAAACGTAACGTTAGTTTCTCAGGTAGCTCATCTGATGCTTTCCTTACCGTGTTAGTAGGTGACAGACAGTGATAAGGTTGGCTACTTATTTTACTTTTAATTTCATTTGAATTAGCTTAAGCAGCGTTTACATTTACTTTATAAATAAATTAACTTGCAAATTATTAGGGCAAGGCTTTTAAAGTTTAAATCTTCTGGCAAAGATAAAGTAAAGAAGATCCTGCAATTTATGGAAGTAAAGCAGAATAAAATCCAGCAAGATCAGTAATATGTCAATTAATTATATGCCACATTCCCATGTAAATATCTGTCTTTGGAGGATGTGTTTTTTAGCACCCCTAGTTCTCTCGTTTTTATTCCAAATACAATTTATAATTTGAATCACAGGGCTATTTTTATCTCTATGGTTCAGTATTTTCTCAAGTAGCAACTTTAACTGCTATACTTTCCTGTCTTAAAAGGCAGAACTCTTCTAGTCTAAAAAAAAACTCATCTGTTGAAATGGGGGGGGGCCTATTGTTTGAACCCCTTAGGGGCTTTTAAAAACAAAAATGTCTTTTTTTGCGCTTTATGAAACAAAGTAGCCTATATTTTGTGGATGTACAGCTACATTTCTCATGTAAGTTTGCGTAGTTTTAACACAAACATTTATTTTTCATATTGCACCAGTACAGTTAATGAGCAACCTGTACTTGTGTGCTTGTTTGTTCTGTCTAAAATGTTTATTTTGGAATAAAGAGGTTAATATAAATTTTTTTTTTGTCCGATTCATCGATTAATCGAAAAAATAATCGTCCGATTCATCGATTTTTAAAATAATCGTTAGTTGCAGCCCTAATTTTAAGCATAACAGACTGAAGAGTCAGCAGGCCCTGGTAAAGTCCCAGCTTTAATGCTGCAGGTTGTTTGTATCCTGATGGATGTACAAAAAGTCCCAGCATGAGATCCTGAGTTAATCAGCATAATGTTGCTTATTTCACAAGAGATGAAGCACTACAAGAGCTTCTAGTGGTGTAACAACATATCGAGACATGAGGTCTTGTGATAATAAAACACAGAAAAATGTCTTGCCAAACTGCAGTCTGTCTAGCAATGCCTCCAGCCAATTGCTGTCAGTGTGCGGCTTTGACGGATGGATATCCAAGGAACTGACATGAGATGTTGAACTCTTATAAGTACCTTGGTGTGCACCTGGACAATA